CTTGGCTGTTCAGGAAGCTGCAGGCCGGGACTTTTTTCCCAGAGCGGAAGATCACAGTAGGGGAAGTTGAAATGCCTATTGTGATCCTTGGAGACCCCACTTACCTGTTAATGCCGTGGCTCATGAAACCCTACACAGGGAGCCTTGACAGCAGCAAGGAACAGTTCAACTACAGGCTGAGCCGGTGCTGAATGACTGTGGAGCGTGCCTTTGGTCGTTTAAAGGGCCGCTGGCGATCTCTGCATGGGAAGCTGGACTTGGTTATATCCGCGTGCTGTACCCTCCATAATATTTGTGAAGGGAAGGGTGAAAGCTTCACTCAGGCATGGACCTCCGAGGTTGAACACCTGGAGGCTGAATTTGCACAGCCAGAGAGCAGGGCTATTACAGGGGCCCAGCATGAGGCTGCAAGGATTAGGGATGCCTTGAGGGAGCAATTTGAGACTGAAAACCAGCAGTGATATCTGGTGCCCTGCACGGGAGTGAAGTACAGTAGCTCCAATCTTTAGGAATCAGTGTTTGCTGAGTAGACTTGCAGTGCCTGTTTATTTCCTGGGCTAAGGAATCTTTTACTTTATGCAAAATAATAAAGAATGTTTTCAAAGCCAAAAAATCCATTAATTGAAAAGAAAATTTATTTATTGAAAAGAAACACAACTGCTTGGGAATCAGAAAGGGCAAGGGGGTGAAGTGGGGAATGGTACAATCACAGATTTGCCTATGTCCTGTCTGGTGTGCTGTGCAGTGAGTGCTGCACTTCTAGGATAGCTATACTGCATGGTGATGGGGGTTGAGTGCAGAGGGTGTAAGGGTCGTGGTTTTCAGGGCTGGGTGGTGAAGATACTGGTGTTGGAGGCAGCTGGTGGCGTGAAGAACCTGGAACCCAGGAAGGGGATTTTTAAAATTCCTGGGGAATGTCAAGGGCGGGTCACATGGTTGGTTACCTGAGGCCAGGGCTGTAGAGTTTGAACTGATGACCAGAGTGGTTAGAACAGCCATTGTGGGATACTGCCAAATACTTCTGGAGGCCAGTCACAGCGCATTGGGCGGCCACACTGGTGCCGCCATACACAGTATTCCTCTCGGGAAGGTGGAGTACATGCAGCGCTGTAGCCACGGAGATACAGCGCTGTAAGTGCCTTGCCAGTGTGGACAGGGAGTGAGTTACAGTGCTGGGGGAGGCTTTATTGCGCTGTAACTCGCAAGTGTAGCCAAGGCCTCCGGGTCCAACGAATCATCATATTTGGGGTTGGGAAGGAATCTTCCCAGGTCAGATTGGCAGAAACCCTGGGGGGGGTTGCCTCTGCAGAATGGGACGGGTCACTTTGCAGGTTTAAACTAATGTAAATTCTGTTACTTGAAGTCTTTAAATCATTATTTGAGGACTTCAGTAACTCAGCCAGAGGTTAGGGATCTCATCTCCACACATGGAAAGGCATGCACAGTCACTTCAGTGTGTTGATTGAAAGTTGTACTTCCCAGAGACTCTAGAATTAAGAATTGAGGGGAGACTGGTGAATCAAGTATTTAAATAAACACACCATATGTATTTATGAGAATGTTTACCCTTTGAAATATACACAGTTACTGTCAAACAAAGTAACTTTTGAACTTTGTTTTATGTTAAACCTTATCAATTAGCTAATTGTGCGATTGATAAAATAGTATTTTATGGGTGAAATCCTGGGTTCAGTGAGGTCAGAATTTTACCCTATATAGCTATAGCGCCATCTTTCTGTTCCACTATCACTACACAAGTGTTTAGAATGGGAAGTTAGGACAGAGGTATGTGACTGAAGTGCCAGAGAGAATGTAGGCTGGCGGATCTAGATACTTGAACTGGATTTTAACAAGAACACCCCAGGAAAAGTAGTTAGGGTTGGAATGTGTTACAGAAAATTACTGGTGTTTTTTAGATTACAGCATTATATGGAATCTGGTTGTGTGAGACTGTTTTATCCAGTATTATTTATGTAGCAACAAAACTGTGCTAGGTACTTTACAGACAAGCCTACAGGCATGGTCTCTGTCAAAGGATCTTACAATCTAAATAGGATCTTAAAGTATATATAGGTATTATCCCTGTCCCACTATGAAAAGACAGGCCACCAAAGTAAGGGCCTAGATGTGGTCTAGGACTGTGGCATGGGGGGATATAGCTGATGCTAATTAGGTTTGTCAGTCTCCTGATTTTTTTTTTTTTTCCCCAGCCAATCCTGTCTTCATTTTATAGTGATCACGTGTCAGAAATATGGCTACAGACTGGCTTGGAAGCATTGTGTCCATTAACTGTGGAGACAGCCTGGGAGTCTATCAGGGACGAGTGTCGGCTGTGGATCAGATCAGCCAGACCATCTCCCTGACGCGGCCTTTCCATAATGGTGTCAAGTGCCTCGTGCCAGAGGTCACCTTCAGGTAAGTGCCTCCTCTGTCTGCTTCTTCCAGGCAAACTTTACATATGGCTGAAATTGGGACATTTTGCTTCAAAACTCATTACTGCTTATCCTTGGCTGAAAAGTGCCTGTATTGCTTTTGCTAGGCCCTATACAGAAAGCAAGAGATGCTGTCTTTGGGCTTTTTGTTGTCTGGGTTACAGTGTGACACAGATGTAGATCACAATTGGAACACATTGGTAGGAGCAAAGAAAATGCGTGTCTGCACAGAGTCACTGTGTATTACCTGTCCTCCAGCTTACAGTTAGATGAGACATTTGGCAGACTCAGTGGAATTTTTGCCAATGGCAAGTTTAATGTTTGTGTTTGCTAAAGCACGACTGAAGTGAAAGTGGAGCTGTTAATCATTTAAATTAGATCCTTGCCCCAAATAAATCCGTTTTATGGCTCCAACTGCATGTTTATCTTCAGATCTGTCTTATCTTCTGCCACTTTCTTTTCCTCCATCTAGATAGCGCTTGATATCCGTCTGGCAAGAATACTCTTCTCTTTGACACAATAATCTTGTTCTATAATTCGCAAGCCAATTGGTGCAGATTGGCCTTGGAGAGACATACCAACAGCATCCAAAACTAACAAGCCTACTGTTGTGTAGAAAGTATTGCTGTTCTTCTACTAAATTACCTGCCCTCTACCTCTGCCCCCAGCTCCCCTGTTACATTATTGGAGAAGAGTAAAGATTAGTAACCAAAGATTTTTTTCTATTATCAGTGCAAATTGGCAAAGTTAATACACACATTTAAATGATTTCCACAAATACACAGATTTAACTATTTTATTACTAAACAAAGATTAAATAGCAACCTTAGGGAGTCTCTCTTCCTTAGGGCTTATCTACGTTACCCGCTGGATCAACGGGCAGCGATCGATCCAGCGGGTGTTTGATTTATCGCATCTAGTTTAGACGCGATAAATCGACCACCGAGCGCTCTCCCGTCGACTCCGGTACTCCACCAGGCGGAGAGGCGCAGGTGGAGTCGACGGGAGAGCATCAGCTGTTGACTTACCACAGTGAAGACACCGTGGTAAGTAGATCTAAGTATGTCGACTTCAGCTATGTTATTCACATAACTGAAGTTGCGTAACTTAGATCGATTTACCCTCCTCCCCCCCCAGTGTAGACCAGGCCTTAGAGAGTTGAAACTCAGAGTGGGAGGTGGGCGGAGAATAGAGAAGGAAGAATCCATGTAATGCTGGTAAAGGTATCGAAGTCCATAACATATTCAGTCTTGGTAACAACATTACTTTTATATCCCAGTATAATAGATTCATTCTGAAGTTTGATTATTCTTCATAAATCTAAAGTCTAAGACCATATCTTATAACCACTCTTTCCAGAGTGACTAGTTAACAGCTTGCACCCACTCCTTTTGACTAGGTACAGAGGCAGTGGGATAAAGAGGTATTTGGGGTTCACTTCTTTCCAGGACCAAAAAAGTCAGATGTATTGTCTGAGGAATATAGTCTTTAAGTGTGTGTGTGTGTGTGTGTGTGTGTGTGTTCCTAATAGGCATTGTAATCCATGTTAATGTTTTTTTTTCCCTTGGGTTCCAGTGAATTAAGAGAAAAATGTCATTCTGATGCTGCTGCAGACTCTAACATACTAGGGGCTTGATTTCTGTAGAGCTGGGCACCAATATTGAATCCTACTTTCTGTTCTCTTTCCTGTGTTTAGGGCAGGTGATATTACTGAGCTAAAGATTCTGCAGATCCCAAGTCCTGGGGACAGCAAACAGAGTGGGGACCTGCAGCATACTGAACTGGGCATCCCTGGCATTGGGTGCCAAGTGGGTACCAATCAAAACGGCACTGGCAAATTGCTAAAGAAGCCTACCTCTTCCAGCAGTGCCCCACAGGCTATCCCAAGGAGAACGGACATGAAAAATCAGGAAGTTGTCATCTCCCCACAACAGCAGCAGTGCTCTAAGAGCTATATGGACCGACATTTGGAATCCTTGAATCAGTCCAAAGGTTTCCGTCGTAGACACAACTCCTGTGAGTATATTGCCCATTCAGCAGCTTTCCCTTCTCTTTAGCTCTGTCAGTCTAGCCCACTGCTGCATTGACTACTGTTCCCAAATGGGTATTTCATATAGCAATTAAATGGGCTGGAAAGACTTAAAAAAATTATTTTGTTACTGGTATTCTTGTTTCCACACCATTAATTTCTCCACCCTGTTAAGATATTTGGGAAAGTGCTACAAGCTGTCAAATATTTTTTTACCCCAAAAAGTTTGATAAATGTAGATCTTAAAACTGCCAGCCACTTGTCTTAAATCAAGTGTGATTTAGTAATGGCTTTTAGCTATATTAATAACAACATGAGAAACTGATGACAAAATCTATATCCGTAGTTTCTCTGAGTGGACAACTGCTGTTATGGCATCTCTAATTCACGGTCCATTTTGGTCAATTTCACACTCATAGGATTTTAAAAAATTCATGATTTCAGTTATTTAAATCTGAAATTTCACGATGTTGTAATTGTAGGGAACCTGCCCCAAAAAGGAGTTGTTGGGGGTTGCAGGGTTATTGTGGGGCGAGTTACAGTATTGTTACCCTTACCTCTGTGCTGCTGCTGGCAGTGGCGCTGCCTTCAGAGCTGGGCAGCTTGAGGGCAGTGGCTTCTGGCTGGGAAACCAGCTCTGAAGGCAGAGCCACTGCCAGCAGCAGCGCAGAAGTAAGGCTGGCATGGTATGGTATTGCCAGCCTTACTTCCGCATTGCTGCCTGCAGAGTTGGGCCTTCAGTCAGCAGCCGCCACTCTCTGGCCACCCACTTCTCAAGGCAGCAGCGCAGAAGTAAGGCTGGCATGGTATGATATTGCCAGCCTTACTTCTGCGTTGTTGCTGGCGGAGCACTGCCTTCAGAGCTGGACACCTGGCCAACATCTGCCACTTCTGGCTGCCCAGCTCTGGAGGCAGCACAGAAATAAGGGTGTCAATACCGTGACCCCTCCTAAAATAACCTTGCGATTCCCCTGCAACTCCCTTTTTGGGTCAGAACCCCCAATTTGAGAAACACTGGTCTCCCCCATGAAATCTGTGTAGTATAGGGTAAAAAGCACACACAAGACCAGAATTCATGGTCCGTGACACATTTTTCATGGTCATGAATGTGGTAGGGCCCTACTGATGGGAGGAGACCATGCACTCAGGACTTGGCTTCACTCTGAGTATTCTGCACTGGGGCATAAAACGCTCTTACGCTGGCCCTTGGGTTGTTTGGTAGAAGGGACTGGATGACCTAATCTGTCATTTCCATTTCTAACTTTTTTCCCCTGAAAGTAAGGTTTTATTGCACTTTTTATGAGCATCCAGGATACACTGGCAAAAACCAGGTGCGTAATGTATATTCGACACAAAATAACTTCACATTATAATAGCCTCCAACAGCATAGACAAAAATAGTTTGTTTCCATCAAATCAACGCAGGTAACTGGGAACTCTCTTAAATAAATTCCAGGCCCCGTCCATCTTTAACTTCTTTTCAGTGGGCATATTTCTTAGCTGCAGTTTAGAATTCCTAACTGTGTCAGACTAGAGCGCTGCAGTGGGACTGGAATCCAGCAGGTCTCTGAGAACCCGCTGTCATAATAGGGAGATAAAAATTCAACAAACAATGCGGGTGGGAGTGGATGTTGCGGGATGGGACAGAAGCAGATTAAAACAATAGTCCTGCACTGAATTCTATGTCAGACTTTTAAGTTCTCCATGTTTGGATCTCTTTTAATTGCTTTTGCTATGCTGATGATTGTGTGTAATGGTTATCTAATGTAGGTGACTGCGTGTATCTTGGATAGAGATTAGCAAGATCAGGCAGCACGCTCTGATTTCAGATTGCTAGATATAGCCTTTTTATGAGATCATCTCTAACTAAGAAGTGCATTAACACACTCATATCCAGGTACAACATTTCTGATTGCAGCATAGGGAAAAGTGTGTGTTATATATGCATAACTGCTTAATTGTGGGTGAATAAATATTTGCTCCAAATCCTCAAAAAAATCACCTCCAAGCTGAGGGAAAACTTGGAAAATTTCAGCCTGAAAAGAAGTAGATTTATTAAGTAACGAATAACAGAATAAGTGAATTAGAATGGATGTTCTCAACTGGGGGTATATGTGTCCTCGGGAGTACGCAGATGTCTTCTGGATGTACATCAACTCATCTAGGTATTTACCTAGTTTTACAGCAGGCTACATAAAAAGCACTAGTGAAGTGAGTACAAACTAAAATTTCATACACACAATGACTTGTTTATACTGCTCTATATACTATACACTGAAATGTAAGTACAATATTTATATTCCAATTGATTTATTTTATAATTGTATGGTAAAAATGAGAAAGTAAGCAATTTTTCAGTAACAGTGTGCTATGACACTTTTTTGTGTTTTTATGTCTGATTTTGTAAGCAAGTAATTTTTAAGTGAGGTGAAATTTGGGGTATGCAAGACAAATCAGACTCTTGAAAAGGGTACAGTAGTCTGGAAAGGTTGAGAGCCACTGTCTTAAACTATAGTATAGTGCTACCCTCCTCACATGCTGCTATAAACCATTAGAGGGAACAATAGAAAGCAGTCATTCTTAGAATAAAAATCTTGGGCCTGCTACATTTAGCAGAGTTCTTAAGCACATGCTTAACTTTAAGCATGTGCACAGCCCTATTGATTTCTGTGGGGCTGCTCACATACTTAAAGGTTAAGCATGTGCTTTGTGAAATCTAGGTCTGAAAGGCTGCTTGTACGGCTATTAGTATTTACACAAAGCAACCAATAGAGTTTAAGTCTGCAGGCATCCTTTGAGCTGGCTTTTATGATGTCATTGTTTGACCATAAAGGCTTATTAACACTTACAGGGGTTGTGGGCAGATATTTCTGTTTTCAAAGTGCAACTGCCCAGAGCAGCCTTCAGAATCTACAGTGGCACAGATGAGAAGAGGCTAAGTATGAAGTTTTATGAACTACATGCTACAGTCCGGGACAACTTCTTATGGAATGGTGGTAGCCTCCCTAGAGTTAAGGTTGAAACTAGCTTCTCCCTGTAAATCTGACTTTAAATCTTTTCTCCCAAAGAGCACAAAAAGAAACCAGTGTCTCTAAAACTTTTAAATGCTGCATCTCATCTCAAGCTTTTATTGTAATCTTAGTAGAAGTCAGAAAAGTTAAAAATAATTTTCCGGTCATTCACTTGCAACCACCCAAAAGTAGTTAGAGATTTTTTATTTTCAAGATGGTTTGGGCTACATCAAATTAACTTTGATTTTTGTTCACATTGTTGACAAATGCCAATATCTGATTTGGGGGGGGGGTGTTCCGTAGGGGGAGCATTTCACTGAAATAGTTATTTTTAAGTGTATATAGAGCAATATTTTAAAAAGTAGACTGACCTCATCCTGGCTTCAGGGACTGCTGCTGTGGTTGCCGAGCTGAGCCAGAGGTGAGAGGTAGGACAGGGATGAGAATTTAGGCCAGGGTGGCATGGGGGTGTACCTGGAATGAGTATGGGGAGAAAGGGAGCATCAAAGACATAGAATGGCAAGTTGAAAGCAGGGAAGAGTTATGTAGGGGTACTAAGACACAAGTATTGTGTGTGTGTGCAAGGATCTGGAAGACGTATGAGGGGGTTTGTGCAGCGGACTATGGAGGTGATGGAGAATTCTGGGGAAGATAAAGGGGTATGGAAATGAGTGCAAGGTGTTGGAGGGCATGGAAAGCAGGGTCCACATATGTGCAGGGGACTGGGTTGAAGTTATGCTGACTGAGCTATAATTCCCTGGGTCCTCTTTGTTCCCCTTTTTAAATATAGATACTACTGTATGCTCTTCTCCAGTACTCTGGATCTCACCTGTCCTCCAAGAGTTCTTGAAGATAGTAGCTAACGGTTCTGAGTTTGCTTCAGTTGGTTCCTTAAGTACCCTAGGATGAATTTCATCAGGCCCTCCCAACTTGAATACATCTAACATTCTTTAATCTGTTCTTTCCCTATTTTGGCTTGTGTGTTCCTTCCTCTTTTTTGATGATATTAATTGTGTATCTAGTCACCATTAACCTTTTTAGTGAAGACTGAAGCAAAATAGGCATTAAGCACCTTAGCCTTCTTAAGCAGAGGACCTATGCTTTCCTTCGTCTTTCCGTTGCTACTAGTGTATTTAAAGAACCTCTTCTTATTGTCTTATATGTCCCTTGCTAGGTGTAACTCATTTTTTGCCTTAGCCTTTCTGATTTTGTCCCTACATGCTTGCGCTATTCTTTTGTCCTCCTCCATAGCAATTTCTGTTCCCTTTTGATTTTAAGGTAATTAGAGAGCTCCTAATGGAGCCATATTGACTTCTTACTATTCTTCCTATCTTTCCTTCACATTGGGATAGTTGGCAGTTGTGCCTTTAATATTATCTCATAGTGAAACTTCCAGCTCTCCTGAACTCCTTTATCCCTTAGATTTTCTTCCTATAGGACCGTACTGTGACAGGTTGGACCCCCTGGGTTGTCACCTGGTGTGCTGGGACGCCACTGAGGCAGACTATTCTGCCAGCCTGGGCCCCCTTTTGGTCTTGCTGGGCTAGGCTCCCCAGCCTTTTCCAGCCAAGCACACAGGCAGGGCCACATCCAGCTGCACAGAGAGAGAGATCTGCTCTGAGAAGGCTCATCTTAAGGGCCACAGCACCCAGATGTCTACCCTGCCTTGAAATACAAACCCAAAAGTATATGAAATTCGCCTCTTCCCTCAATGTGGAGGAGGGTGTGCACAACTTCTCGCGCCCCCTTCCCCCCCCCAGTTAGAAATCACATAAACTGGGTTCTATTGTAAACCAAAAATAAATTTATTAACTATAACAGGTGTATTTTAAGTAGTTAAGGAGGTAGCAGACAAAACAAGGCAGATTAGTAAGAAAATAAAACAGCACGCAAACTAAGCTTAATACATTAAAGCAGTGTTTCTCAAACTGGAGTCGCGACTTGTGTAGGGAAAGCACCTGGCGGGCCGGGCCGGT